TTACTTATTTGGTCAATTTATTTACACTATCAATAATCAAGTATAAAAGACAATGTTATTAAATCAAGGGTTCCAAATGCGTCACCTGCAAGGAAACTCAACCAGGAGACATGCTTGGTTTGATCCACCCAATATTTTAAAAATACTGGAAATATCATATAAAAATTATATTCTAGGTTTCTCTTGATAAAGCAGACACCTTTCAATACCACCTGAATTGCATGTGACTAAGATATGTTAGAGAGAAATATTTCAATGCCCCTTGAGGTAAGCCCCATTAGTCTGTTGCTTATATCCAGCCAATTCCACTCATTAAATACCTACCTGGTTACCTATCCGTAGGCTTGTGAATATGTGACCCTCAGATTAAACCATGAGACCTTTCTCCATACTTTGGTTCTCCTCCCTCCTGAGTTTTTCTTCCCCAAAAGTATGACAGAAAAGTCATAACCTATTTTTTAAAAGAAGATTTATTTTGGATTAAGTGATTTCATGATGTAACATGGTTTTAAACAAAAATAGAGATCAGTATGAAAATAAAACAAATTGTACACATTAAAATATCTTTACCTTAAAGCATTTCATAATCATAAAAAATACAACACAAGAGTCAGGGGTCCTGGTGAGGATAAGAATACAGACTTCCCAGAAAATGAGCAACTAGTCCAGGATTTGGAGTCTTAGGCTCCATATAATATCACCCACATACCATTTCTAGGATGTCAATAATCTGTATTATTTGCTTTGAAAAAAAGAAAAGAAGTTTAAATGTAAGATGAAATGAGAGCTGTATAATCTTAATTCTAATATCAAATATCTCCCATTATTATTCTCTATTAAAAGTCACATTGAATAAATATGAAGCTTAAATCAACTCAACAAAAATAAAAACATTGCTATGAACTGTGTTGCATGGTGTAGTGGACATAATGGGTGGGATTAGTGAAGGAAATGAAAAGGCTTAAAAAAATACACCACCTGTGCTCTACTGAAATTTTAGAAATAAATGTTTTTGTTTTTTTTACAGAGCCTTAATATTAAAAAGTAAGCATTATTATAAAATTAGATTAATACTTTCAGTAAGAGGCAAGAGAGATGCATGTATTTTATTCATTTATTTTGGAATGCCTGCATCCCTATTATAAAAACATGTAATCTTATGCACTTTCCAACATTTAAACAGCCCCAAATTTTACTTATAATATTGTATAAAGAAAAATAGGTTGTAATTACATCTTTTAGAGCATCAAGGTCCTAAAAGAACATTCAGTCCTGTGTGTTCCTGGTTAATCCTTCCAAGGTATTTCTTGAACATCATCCATCCTTTTTTACAGAAGGTGATAGTAACCAGAAGTTTACTGATGGTTCCTTACCGGCATCAGTAATAGCTGATTCAGTTTGAATCATACAACATGCCTAACAACACTCCTCAGGGTGTAATATCTCAAAAGAAAGTTGGATAGAAATATATCACCTGCCCAAGGCTACTAGACATAAAAATCACAAACACAAGTGTGATTCTCCTGTTTTCCAAAGAAACCATATAACTGCGACCATCCTATTCTGCTGGGCTATTGAATCATGAAAGCCAAATAAAGTACCTTGCAGATAAAAACCTAAGCAAATGTATGTCTAGTCTTATTAACTTATTGAATTAGAAACACTGATTAGGTCTTTATTTGCAACTCAGTAACCTCACTTATGATTTTGCTTTCTAGATAGATTAATAGGGAACATTTAAGTTGTCACTGGGTACCATGAAAATGTTCTCAAACCTATTCTGATGTCAAAGAATGTCTGAAAAAAAATCCCATAAATTAACCATAATGAAATAAAAGCATCTTTCTTTTATTTCATATAGTGTTTGATAGTAGTAACAATAACTCCTAAATTAAAAAAATCTACAACATAATTGAATGCAAAATAGTTGAATCTCCTGATTAAGCTATGATTAATGTTTTGGGGCTAAATTCCTTTTTTCAATACAGAAAATGTTAACTTATTGAAGTTATAAAATGAGGTTATTTCCTACCAGGTAGATTCCTAAGCAGTGCCTTAATAAGGCAGGAAACCATTCTCCTTCTCAAAGAAACCTAACTGTAGTATGATCCTGCCCCCACCAGCATGCTCTAAGATGATTTTTCCACCCTTGTTAGTTTCTCAGCTACTATAATGGGCAGCTCACGAATTCATTCTGTCCTTTGTGCCTCCCTTGGAATGCAGTTAACGGCTCTGAATCTTAAGAGTTGGTCAACAATTAGGCTCTGAATCTTAAGAGTTGGTCAACAATTAGCCTTACATTCTTGGGGTTGGCAAACTGCTGGGCTTCTCTTTTCCACTTTTATTTTTATCTCCCTTTTAGTGGGCAGCAGTTGGCCTTAGGCCACAATTCAGAAAGCTTCAATGTCACTGGCATTCCTTTGCTTCCATGCTAGACAACTTTATCTGGAAAACACAACTGAACTAGAAAGGAAATAAGTTTTGCCAAGTTAGAATACAGTAACAAGTGACTTTCTCATTAATTTAAACTCAAGTCTCATGGAAGTAAGATGTCTAAGATCTAGAGTGTTGTCACTCATCAAATAAATTTGAAAGCAGATGAAAGAAGAGGGCCTGAAACTCAGACTCAGCCTAGGGATTAGGTCACATTCTTCATATGCATGGGCTTTTAAAAAAAATTATGCCGGGTTCCTGATGCCTTTTAATGATGGTATGGCATCATTTCCCCTGCCTCTGGAGTTTCCTGAATAAGATTAAATTGGACAGACTTCTAGATTCTTCATTATAAGATGTTTGTCTTAGAAGTGGCTGACTCATAAAATTTGTGCAAAAGCATAAACAAAATTATTGGACAAATGGGAGGAAGATGGGGAGAAAAAGAGAGATGAGAGTGGTCCCTTCTTCCATCACCACTGCAATTCAGCTACCAGGGCTTTCTCAATCCATTCTTATTAAAAAATTTAAAACTAAGGGACTCTGATTAGTCCTTTTCCCATGATCTTTCTTTCAAATTATGGTTGATAAAATGAAATCACTATACTGTAGAAATACACCAAAAGCAATCAAATTTTGCCTGTTTTAAATTTCTCATGACAAGAAGTGAAAAATAAACATTGCATTTATGAGGAGTTTTGTCCATTAATATATTAATTTCTTCATGGACTTTCCAGAAGGTATCCCATTTTAAGGTGTGTTTAAGAAAGTGAGAGTTTGGGTGGATGAAGCATCTTACAAAACTGGCTGAAAGTGGAATGTCCAATACAATCATTAGTCTCTACATCACTTGAGATGAAACACAGAATTGTGACTATAAAGTACTGAACTGATCTCAAAAGTCACCCATGAAAATCAACCTCAACCCACGTAGGACTTGATACTTCTATCCAACAAAGTACCTGAGAATCAAGAGACATGTGCCTAAAGGCACTTTGAAACCCTAAAGCATTTTCTTTATCATCATTTGAATGCATTTTTACCATTTTTGATTGTTGTGCTGGTGATGGCTAGATTTTAGCCATCTTACTTCCTTGAGACTTGAATTTCAATGAACAGAATGTCTCTTGCAGCTATATCCTAAATTTGCAAGATTTATTTTATTTCTAGTTTAATTGTTTTTTCCAGATTACAGAATTTCTACTAAAGTATATATACAAAATATGCTAAAAAATTGTGACTGTACTTCTTTGACCCCAATCCATTCATCTTGTGCACAAGAAAAATGTTTTGATCCCATAAGTAGTTTGGGTTCAGGGATTGGAATTCCTTACACTGAAAACCAAAGGTATGTTGTAGTACAGATGAAGGGAAATTATCAGACTTGATTTTGGCATTTCTTTGATAATTAGAAGATCCTGGAGTTGCTCCTTCACAGTTCTGCTCCCCACCTACACACTTTATTATACACTTTAAATCCTCATTGTGCAAATGCATTCTGGGCCTCAATACTTCACTAATATTGACACTGTATTTTTTGTCCTTAGTTATCAGCAGAAACAGTATTTTGTGATTTATTTGAGTCTCCCATATATGAAGCTGTGATAGAATCTTTCTGGATGAATAAGCTGTTCTCTCTTCATTCCTTGATTGTAGAACCTAACAATTTTTATTGAAGATATTTTTGGGAACCATGGCATCTCCTCTGCTAGACTGTGAACTTTTGAAGGGCAGATTTAGAATTTTGTATCTCCATCATCAAACACAGGCACTGACACAGAGAGAAAGGCAAGAGTGTGCCTGTTCTCCTACCTAAAAGATGTTCTGCCTATTTATATGATGTATCATAACTGTCTCTTAGAGTAAAACAAGCATCACTTGTGAATTTCTTAAAGAAAACTAGACCCAAAAGCCAAGATATCTGGGCTCACAGTCCAGAAGAAAATGTTTATGGATATTTCAAATTGTAGAGTATACTAAAGGCTAATTAATTATGTGGAGCATATTTTAATATCTTATAGAGTTATTATTGGTTGTTTTTTGTTTTACTAATGAAGAATAATAAATAGGTTATCATGGTTTTTTTGATATGCATTTTTGTTTGTTTTGTGACACTGGGATTAAGCTCAGGGGCTTACACGTACCAAGCAAGCACTCTACCACTGAGCTACATCCCCGGTCCTGGTTTTCTAATATGCTAAGTACATCTTTGATAAATTCCAATTCTGAGAATGGTGTCAACTAGACAATTCTGCTAATTACGAATGTCTGCATATATTGGAAAGAACTGTTATTTGAGACCTTGGATGCCTCAACAAAGAAATATATTTGTTAGAAAGAGATACATTTTATTTCAAATCTCCTTTACCTAGTAATATGGCATATGATAACAGTGTTTCAAACTAAAATGAAAATTCATATGGTCTTTGAATGTATTTAAAAAAATATAACCTTCTCTATCAGCTGCTTAGTGAATGCCAGCTCTGAGACATCAAAAATGTGATTAAAAAGAGTGTGTTAGTGTGTTATATACTTTTCCTTATAATGAAAAAATACAAACGAGTAAAAACAGTTTGCAAAATTAAATATATACTTGTATTCATGGTCAATCAGTACAAACTAATATTTCCAGTTAAAATTTTTTTCTCCTTCATTTTTATCTCACCCAATTATAGTACATATATAAATCTTCTTTGTTATTTCCAGATTTCTGTAACCTTTTTCCTAGAACATTACCCACACTGCAATACCCACCTTTAGAGCAGAAATGCAACATGAGTGGCACTGTTCTTGCAGGTCTCAATAGAATACTCAGTTCAAATGGCAGGAGAGCAATCAGTTCTTACAAAACACCTTTGAAAACTGGGCATATCACCTCTATAAGATGTAAGATCGCCAACATCCCATAATAGGAATTCCATGGCTACTTATAAATATGAATCTCAAAGAAATGTTCCAACAGTGCCTGTAAGCTCATAGGCTGGCAAACTATATGTTAATCCAATGCCGTTACCATCCTCAATTTAGCTTACTCTATTGTGCGTCTGATTAGTTATGGCCATAAATCAAGGAACAAACAATGGTGTGGAATAATTCCAAAAGCAATCAAAATGAAGGATACCCTTTTTAAAAAAAATTAAGCAGAAGTAAGATTAGTGATGTCATGCAGTTTTTGAGATATCATAGAAAAATTGTTTCTTGATATTAATAAGAAAATTATGCATCCGTGAAAATGCAAGCTTAGAAATATAGTACTGAGAGTTTCAATTTGTGGCATCTTCACTGATGAGGAAAAATGAAATTCTATTACTAAAGAGAGCTGATGTCTTCAATGTTGCTGATGGCTCCCTAACTGAGCTTAGTGTTTAATGATGCTGTACAAATAACAAGCAGTGGGAGAAATACGAAATATCTGTATTAAATGCCATCCTGGAAAGTATTTGATGGATGGAAGAGAGTCTAATGCATTTTAAATAAATGCATATCATACTATCACATATAGTGAGTCTTAAAAAATTATTACTTAGATGCACAGTCCTTGTAGTGGTTGACATGGCACTGTGAAGGAAGTTTGATTTAGAAGCTACTTTCTATTATACTTGTCAAGTGATGGAGTTGCTGTTAGTCGTATTGTAATGTCCCTTCAACTTTGGTACATTCAGTGCAAATTATTTTGGGGATTTTTTTTTACCTTTATAAAAATAAAAGGCCCTTTTGTTCCCTTGAGAGTGCTTAAAAGGATACATACTAGCATGATGCCCGAGTAAGCATGGAACATGAAAATGGAAAGGTGATACATATAGTATGATAGGTAGGTTCTTATATACATCTTAAAGAACATAAATATAATGAACCTATAAAAAAGAAACAGAACTCACTGTGTACATTTTTCCTGATATGCTGTGATTAATTGCTAGTTATTTTTAAATTGTTTTCATGCATTATAAAGCATAAAATCTGTCCATTAGTAATTCATTGAGTAACAGTTTGTCTTTAGCCGTAATTACACACATACCACTTGCATATACATTGTCACAAACCACCTTATTGTGAATCTTTAAAGTTACCTCCTATTGACTTGGATTCATTTTTACTTGTGTCCCATGAAAGCTGAAACCTATAGTGCACACCATGCAGGCACTCATAAGCAAGAAATGAATATTGTTATAACTTAGGGCTTAAATGAATGTATTTTCAGGAAATATATTTGTTTTATTATATTATTTAACTTGCACTAATTTGGAGATTGGGCCAAGTGCTGCCAGTTTGGCTTGAACCACGTTCAAGGGTAAGTTTCAAGATTCTCCTGAGTCCCTAGAAATTGCCATGGAGCTGATCATGTACAGGTTCATCTTTGTCTTGGAACATAACAAATGGAAAAGGTTTGGCAGTCAAGAACTGTTGATTGAAAGACTGTTGGGTTGTTCCCTGGGCATCAAGCTCACCCAAATCCTTCCAAGAGGACTCATCACCAGTCCTCAAACGTGAGAGAGCACATGTTCCCGGAAACTAACAGCACTCAGCTTTACTCTAATGGAAGCCTGAGCTGGAGACTTCCAATGCTCAGTCATGCTGGAAGCCAGCTTCCGAAATTGTCTGTCCATAAAGAGATGCTTCCAGATCACTCAAGTCCAAAGGTACTGGTCTCTTCAACTGCTGTCAGGAGCTTCTCATAAAGCATGGAAAAGGATGGGTACGGGGGCAGATCCAGGCGGTTAAAACAAGTATGAGCTCTGCAAACAGAAGAAACAGTCCATGGTTAAAAACAAGTCCAGGGAAATGAAGGTGTGTATCAGTGTGTGTGCATGTACACATGCATGTTTTTCATATTCAGATTTGTTTGTTGGCAATTCTCAGACTTTTTGGGGGGAAACTTTGAAAATAGTTTGACTTTAAAAAGTCAGAATTAAGCTGGGCATTATGCCAAACATCTATAATCCAAGTGGCTGGGAAAGCTGAAGCCTAAGAATCCCAAGTTCAAAGCCAGCCTCAGCAACTTAGTGAGGCCCTAAGCAACTTAGTGAGACCCTGTCTCAAAATGAAAAAGAATATAAAGAGGATAGGAATGTTGTTCAGTGGTTAAGTACCCTTGAGTTCAATCTCGCTGCCAAAAGAGAAAAAAAAAATCAGATTTGGTTTTCCTAAAGGAAGTAGTATAATATTTTTTTCCATTTTCACAACCGTTTAAAAGCTATATTACATATATATTATTATTGTTTGTTGAGTGTGTAAGAATTACAAAGGTTAGTTTAGGTTTTTGTTGTTCTCTTTTGGAGTTAGACTTTTTCAAAGACATGAATATAAGTCATTCATTTTCAGCACTGGCATTGGCCTGGATGTTTCTCTGAATCTGAGACTTGGCATTTTTTTCCCACTTTCTTGGGCAGGGAAGAGAACTAGATGTCTCTGAAGATCAGCCTCACATCTCAGAGTTTGGGAAAGTCCTTGGCTGGAGTTTTCTATTAAAGTCAGTAGACCATTGTTACTTCTTTGAATCTTCCACCATAATCTGTCTTCTCCCAGGTTCACAATGCAGAAAAATGGCCATTTAAATCACCATTACATTAAGTATTCTTTTTTAGAAATACTCCCCTTTGCCAAGATAGGAAAAAAAATGTTTTCCTGTTATTTGCACCTGAATCACAATAAAAAATAGACAGTCTCCAAATAGTACATCTTATCAGGAAGCAAATCTGTACTTTTGACATGGAATAGGAAGCATTTGATTCTGAATGTGCAACAGCTTTTCAGCTGAAGCTAAAACAATTTTGACTTAAGAAATGTTCCTAAATCAACACAAAATTTTAGAATCTATGATTATTAACAGGCTATTTCTAAAAGGTACTATGCTTAAATTTTTACTTCTAACTTTTTACTTATAAAACAAATGTAATTAATATTCTTAGATGTGGGGTAGCACAGTGGGAAGATCAGAACTTTGGGAGTTGGAGAGACTTGGATTTAATTTAAACTTTGTACACAGTTGTGTGATTTGCAGTGAGTTATTAGCATTCTGAGACTCAATTGTCTCACTGGTCAAAAGGGAATAATATAACTTCTCTCTAAAGGATGTATTGAAGTCAAATAATAGAAAAATGCTTTACAAGGTGCCTGGTTCATAGTTCTTGACTAGTTAATAACACATATTTTTAGTTACATTTTTTTGTTATCAAAAAGATTTAATCTGCCTCCAATAAATTGCCAAAAGATAACAAGACCCATAGAAACCGTGAGACAATAAAGAGGTAATAAAGCAGGTGTATGGTCACATAACTTACTAGAAATAGAAATGTGAAGGGGCCCTCTGTGTTATATTTTAAAGAATATCAATTTTAGAACATTGAAATAGTTTAACTAATTTATTGCTCCTGACACTACAGACTCTGAGATATACTGGAGGAAATCATCTAATAGTTGCAGTTAAGCACCTTTTTTTTTTGGATACAATAATATTTCAGAATTGCAATTAATGTAATTCTTATTATACATCCTTATATTAGAACCTAATTTTTAAAAATTCAATGAACATATTAAAAGAAGTCTCAGGAGTTTAAAATCTTATCTCATGTGAAACACTGGAATAAAAATATTAAGTGAAGACTTTAATCTCTGTTCTAGAGGGAGCTGAAGAAGAAGTAAAAAAGTGAAATGTTTGGACAGAATTATATGCCAAACTATGTGTGAAAGTACACATTCATTATCCCATTAGGCTAAAAGATGGTGTACATTGTTATTTTTTCATTTTTATCTCTTTAGTTATTAAAAGATTGAGCATCTTTCCCCAAGTCTGCTTACTTGTTAAACTGCCTGTTTTGTGATCTTTATGTTCATTTCATCTTTTCTTTTTAATGTTTTTACTATGGCATAATATTAAAAAAACATAAAATTTACAATTGCAAGCATTTTTAAATGCAGTTTTGTGGCATTAAGTGCATTTATATTGTTTGGCAACCACTATCATCAAGCATCACAGAACTTTTTCATCTTGTAAAACTGAAGCACTAAACCCTTTAAACAATAAATCCTGTTTCTCCCCTTCTCTGGTCCCTGGAACCTACCATTCTACTTTTTGTCTCTATGATTTGTACTATTCTATGTACTTAAAACATTTGTCCATTGTGTCTGGTTAATTTCACTTAACATAATGTTTTCAAGGTTCATCTCAGAGTTTGGGACAGAATTTCCTTCCTTTTTAAGGCTGAATAATATTTCATTATACATACATACATACATACACACACACACGCACATACACACACCCCATTATCCATAAACCCATTGATGAGCATTAATTGCTTCTACCTTTTGGCTATTGTGAATAATGCTGCTTGAACATGGATATAAAAATATGTTTAAGTTCCTGCTTTCAATTTGTTTTGGGAAGTGTATATGCAGAATTAAAATTACTGGATCATATGGTAATTCTATTTTTAATATTTTCAGGAATCACCATACTATTTTCCTTAATGACTATAGTATTTTACATTCTCACCAATAGTGCACATGGGTTGCAATTTCTCTGTATCCTTGCCAACACTTATTTTGGTTTTTACAAAAATTTTACTTTTATAATAGCCATCCTAATGGGTGTGAAATGCATTCATTTTCTAAAGCCTTAGGATTTGTTTCTGATTTGTACACATGCTAGAAAATAAAGAGAGACTCTATTACTGGATTTGAAGAAGCGAGTTGCCACGAAATTCACAGATTTAAGGAATGAATGCTGCCCACAATCTAAGGGAGCTTGAAAGTAGATCTTTCCATAGTTGAGCCTTCAGATGAGAACATAGCCCAGCTAACACCTTGACTTCAGCCATGTGTGTCACTGAACAGAAAACTTAGCTAAGCAGTGCCTGGATTCCTGCCCCATAGAAAGATGTGTGTTGTTTTAAGCCACTAAATTGATATAATTTGTTTTGCAGCAACATCTAAGAAAGGTGGCAACTGTGATGATAATGTGAAACAGTAGAATTGTCTATAAAGGGCAGGTAGTGAGGCAAAGCTGGTAGTAAGTAACTGCCCTTACATGCTTCTAGGTGTCTGAGCAAAGAAACAGAAATTCTGCATATTTTCTTTGCAGTTCCTATTATCTCTTTATAGGTACCATAGTGCATTATCCAGTAAATTCATGAGCTAGGGCACTCTTTTCAATTCTCAATACAAAGGGAAGTACTGATCAATCTTTTTCACTCTTCTTTAGTCATAAGATATAATCACCATTATTGCTATACAATCTAAGGTTATCACTCCTTCTTAAATTACATCTGCTCACATAACGTATAATTACCACAACACAACTTTCTTTCTGAAAAAACTAAACAGCTCCTCTGGAAAAGGCTTCATGAGGATGGATGGAGACAGCATATACTGTGGAAGGGAAAACTATGTGAAAGACTAAATGGTTTTCCCGAGGTCAAAGCTGAATCAGTGGCCAAATCAAGAATAAGACCTCAACTTTGGGTCTTCTAGGGAAAGTCCAACATTAAAGTGAAAGCAGGTGATTTTCTGCACACTGGCTCTATTCTTTTACTTTTGAAAGCTTGAGTGATAATTTCACCCCAGGCCTGACTATGAGCTCCTAGTCCTCAATATCCTACCTGGTTACATATGGAGAGGGATTCACAAAATAAGCTTCAGGCATTTTTTAAATGAGTGGCTCAATCTTAATATGCAGCAGCTCTGAGGAAAATAGTCAAGATTGGTTCAGTCCAGAAAAATCTTGGGAGATACCAGGGGATTTTTAAGTGATCAAACTATCTAGTTCAATCTCAGGCCTACCAGAAAACAGAGCTACTTTGGAGTGAATTGGAATCAGCCAATGAGTTGTTTACAACAGGGACTTTTGTTTACAACAGGGACTTTTGGTTATACCCCTTGAGAGTCTACTTCAGAAGATTTGGGGTGGGCCTGGGGATCTGCATTCTAAAAGTTATTTTAAGCAAGTCTGATATAGGTTGTCCCCACCATTGGAGAGACATCAAGTAAATTAGAATCAAGATATCTACATTGGACATTCATATCAACATTTTGTGTGCTTGCAAAAATTTCAAAACTGCTTATAAACAAGACAGTATTGCTAATGAGGAAATTGAGGAAGAGTGTGGTTAAATGAATTGCCTAATATTTACCATCAACTTGCTATATGAGCCAAGAAAGAAATAAAAAGGCAAAACAAAACAAAATCCTCTGAGGCTTTTCACACCCTCCACCCCCACCCCATTCCATGTCCTAAGAAAACTCTAGTAGAAAATAACAGGAGGGCCCTTGGACTGTGTTGATATTGGCAACAAAAGCCTGTCCAGCTATTCAGTCTCAGTAAAAGAACATTTTCCAAATCTTTCAAAGCCAGTCACACAAAAGTTTATAATGAATTTAGTTTTTTAAATCTATCCAGCCAAGACCACTCAAGGAGAACAGGTCTAAACACATCTTCAGGAAATCTTCTGGCATAAATATCAAGATGTAAAAACCCTCCATATATCTGGTCTCACTTAATAGATCCTGTAGTGCTTTCTGAATCCTTCAAATGTTAACAGGGAGGTCATATATTTATACCCCATTTTTCCCCCTGTAGATTGAAAAGTCAGTTATCCAAATCCAGTAAGCCAAAAATATCACAATTATATTTCCATAGGTCAGCTAATTGATTAATGTGCTGCTTCCTCTGTGTGAATGTATTTATTCATTTATTTCTAATTCTTCCAGAAGTGATTTCTGTGTTTAAGATTTTAAA